AGTACCCCCTGGAATAGAAGTACCCCCCGGACAAATCTTCAAAATCTAATAAAAGTACCCCCTGGAATAAAAGTACCCCCCGGAAAATTTAAAAATTGACATGTAAGCAACGTCTATGCTCCAAAAATGTGTTCTCATGGTGTATATATATATATGTGTACGTCTGTATGACCTTGGCACTTGCAATTATTGACAGGTCCTGAATAAACATACCCCCTTGAATATGATTCCCCCAACAAATCTTCAAAACTTTATAAATATCAGGGATCTCCCCAGAAATTCAGAACAGGGTGGAGGAGGGTGGTCTGGAAACCCCCCCCTCTCCATGGGGGGAAGCTATTGCATTTTGTCTTTTCCAAACACAAATGGAGGTCATTTCCTGCAACTTCAGTTCGACATTTTCTGTACAATTGCAGATGTATAAGGCAGGAGAAAGGTTCAAGATTAAAAAAAAAAAGTTCTATTAGCACCCTAATTTTGAAAAAATTGGGCATAGGTTCCCCGGATGACCCCTAACCGGGGGCCAACGGTGCTTCCACAAGTTCAACAAGTGAAAAATACATGATACAAACTGTACATGTATTTACTACCTGGAACTTGGAGCAAGTTATTCCAAAGATGTACTTACTGACATTAATAAAAGTATAATTAAAAACTAAACCAAATCCTATTTCCCAAACAAATCACATATTGACACAGCTGAACAAATAAAAATGTGATCATGTCTATAAACTCCACTCAAAAACAATTTTTGAGAGACACTCGGGTACTAAGCGTGATAATCTCTAATATCTCATCTGATTCTCCCAATGTAAAGGATCTTTACAATCACAGCATCCAACCGCACATACATAGAAACAACAATATTACACAAGAAACCAATAAATTGAACAGAAAACTTCTCAGTAATGTTTGAAAATTATTCTTACTAAAATATAAGTGAATTTTTATTTCAGTTGTAGCCGAAAAATATTTTTCAAGCGTTTAAAGTATCGTTTTAGCACTGTAATATGTACTTAGTACATGTTTTATACATTTGGATGCTATCTTGACCTTTGACCACTGTTATTCTAAAAGCAGGTCGGCCATTTTGTCTTTCTCGCCGTGGCTTTTCGAGCCGTTTTTTCGAGCAAATTTTAACCATTTTAAACATTTTACGGCCTCAAAAACTCATACAACGAGGAAAACAAGTTGTAGTTGTTATTTTCATGCGTAACATTTCTTCTGGGGATGGTTTATTTTTCCGCCAAGCTGCCGAAAACTAGCGTCAAACCGCAACCATGCGGTTTCTTCGCGGCGGCCGGCGGGAGTTTTTGTATCGGAGCTTTCACGATGTAAACAAAGATAGTCGGAGTTGTTTATCTGAAAATTTTGTTGTGAAACGCCAGCGGGGTGTCAGATTTTCTACTAATGACAACGTTTTCTTTGTGGCGTCATGGCGAGATCGACAATCCATCGACAATTCACAGGAATTTGTGCCGACAATGGAATGAATTTTCCCGGAACTTTTCCGATTTTGAAAAAAGAAATAAACGTACCGTCTAAAATAAGAATGTACCGGGTGGATTTTGAGGCGAAAAAAAATAAACGTCCCGGTACGTCTATTAAAGAGTTCAGAGTATCACTGCATTTTATCAATATGCATAATCTACAATCCAATAAAACACTTACTAGTATTCAAGCCAACTTGGGCAATGAAATTCATTTCGTAGAAAATCTCGGAATTTGTGCAATTTTTCTTTTGCAAATAATTTCTAATGATTGAAGACTGATGGAAATAATATCTGTCAGGCATTATGGAAGATATTTATGTCTTACTATATTTCATCATTGCAATTCACACGTAGCTCAAACAAGCAGACGAAATTGTATAAAGAGACAACAGACTGCTAGACAGTGGCATTTCCAACTCAATGGATAGAGTCAATATCATATTAAGTACTCTTGGCACTTTCTAGACAAAGGTCTTCAGCGATAAGCATTCTTGAGATAGTCTTCAATAGATAAATACGTAACGGTATTATGTATTTATCTTGTCTGGTTTTGACTCAGAAAAAATATCTGCATTCTTGACCATTACCAATATGTATCATGTACCACAAATAGCTGTATAGCTCTTACAGCTAATTGAATTGTTTCACAAAGGCCACACCAATTTAATTTCTTGGTTAACGGATTTTTCTACAAAAATAATGGAGCGGGCGGGCGAAAAAATAAATGAAATAAAAACAGGCCTAGGCAGCTATTATAGCCCAAAATGGTACGATAGGAGCCATGAAGTCAACACACCAGGCTGGTTCAAAATTTAAACAATGAATTTTAAACTTTTAATGATACCACTGCATTGAAAGATGGAATAACTGTAACAACTAGGAAGAAAAGGACTGTTTTCAACTGTTCAGGGCAAAATATGAGCATTTTGCACTGCTGATTCTGAATTTTTTTTTTTTGCGAATCAGAAAAAAATGAAGCGGACGAATCTGTTAACCAAGAAATTAAATTGATGTGGCCTTGGGGGGGTTTCACTTAATCAATGTACTTAGTGGGGTCTTCATGTATTCATGATTGTATTGATTTTGCAAGTCTGGGATTTTTTATTTCCCATAAGGAGCATGTACTGATGTAGTTAAGGATTACACATGATAATTGGATTTGGCCTGAGGTTAGAAAATTGAGTCTTGTGGAACATGTACTAGGGCTTGGCATCTGTTCAGAGGTAAAACGTTTGTAAATATACCGTATCAAATTCATTTGACAGATTTCTAATTTTAGAGGGTAATCCTCTTTCTTCAAACTGCACGTACATGTACAACCAATTCTTCATGGTATTACGTAAACCTACGGAAATATTTGGGTGCACTGGTGCACTCACAGAAAGTAATTGGGTGCACTAAGATACACATAGGGTCGTGTGGCGCAGTCGGTGAGCATGTTCGGCTCACACCCAAGAGGTCGCGGGTTCGAACCCTGCCCATGTCACCGATCTTGTGCCCTTGGGAAAGGCACTTTACACGACTTTCCTCACTTCACTCAGGTGGAAATGAGTACCTACATGTAGCTTCGGTTAGGGACGTCCCTCGGATAGGACGTTAAATGGAGGTCCCGTGTTTGGGAGAGCCACACCCCACGCACGTTAAAGAACCCACCGCACTTATCGAAAAGAGTAGGGGACCTTCCCGGTGTGAGTGGTTCAAACCTTACAGTCCGGTCTTACGCAGCTTGTACATGTGCGTACATGTACAAAACTGGTGTGTTACGCCTAAAAGCGGTTTACCGGTTATGCGAAATAAACAAACAAACATGCACCTGGAGCATTTTGAGCACTGTAAAGTGATAAAAGTGATGACTTGAAATGTACTTACATGACAGAAGTTGGAGTTTTCCGCGATGTACGTCCCCACGGTCTCGTTCTCCGCCGACAGCGACATGCAGAGGAGCAGCGCGTCGCGGGCCTGCTGACCAATCCTGCCCTCCCGGTGCACGTACGGAATCAGCAGCGAGAAGATCAGGAACTTCGCCGGGCCGTGGTCCGCCTTCGCGTTGAAGAACTGTTCCAACAAGGACGGATCCTTGTAGAGACTCACGCACAGTTGATTCAGCAGTAGGATCAGGTGATTCTCGATTTCCAGCGTCGTCGCGTCCGAACACATCCCGAGTAGCCTCAGCAGCGGGTTCAGGATGTGCCTCTGATGCAAAACCGGTTGCGGCGAGCCGCAGAGCAACGTCTCGTACACCTTGAGCTGCTCGTGTTTCATCTCGTCCGCAAACTGGCTGTGCTCGACGCTCCAGTCCAGAAGTTTCTCCATGATGTTCTCGTTGGTCAGGAACTGGAGCATCGGCCCGATTTTCCCGTTGACGGTTTCTTCTTCCACCAGGAGGTTCATCATCTGGTCGACGTAGTTCACGACGGCCTGGACTTCGTCGCCCGTTAGGGCCACGCGGTGGTAGATGGTCGCAGCGGTAGGAATATGGCGGCACATGATGGTGTACGCCTGTCTCCAGTGGTTCTTGAAGACCTCGAGGCACGTCTGAGGGTCCACCATCACCTTACCGTACAGCGAGCGCACGCCGGTCGGCGGGCGATTCTGGGTACTCACGCTCTTGGAACGTAACTTCGCGAACCAGCTCATCTTGAAAAATACAGCGATTTATAATATAAAATTCTTCAAAAATAATATCTTAGATTCTTGCTGTGGTGATTTTTTACGAAGACATCGGTTCAAGGCACAAAGATGCAGTATCGCATAGTCTGTGAAAACTACATGCTCAGGCACTACTAAGGCGGGTGTGCTTGGGTGCGATGTTCATGCTCCATAATCTTGCCACCATTCCAAGCTTCCCATAGCTGTTACCCAATCTCTGGAACTGGTAAACAGAAAATAAAAAAAGACGTCAGACAGTGGGTATAGCATGCCAAAATAAACAAAAACAAGCAGATACAGGGTTTCAATCATCCATATGTATATAGTGCAGACAATCTGGCATGGCAAGTGCAAGCACAGCAGACGTCTTGTCAAATTATATGTTTAAAGTTTATAATAAAATCGTGCTAGAGTAAAGGAAAGCAAATAGCAACACCCACTTTTGTGGTGAGCTAGCTGCCAAACCATGCAAGGGATTTAAACTAGTGTATAACTTTAGCAGCGTTACGCTTTGCGTACTAGTATTTGACGGGCAAACCCATATGAACAAATACTGCCAAAATACGTTGGCACAACACCCGCAAAAATCAACAACGGTTCGTCACGTAGAACCGCAAAACTGGCAACAGTGGAACAGAACAAACATCTGGAAGAAATAGAAGCGTACAAGCTGGAATTCTGGCTTCGAAACACCACAACCACATCCACCCAAAGTTGTCGGACCACTACGATAGTATCCGCAACGCTGGCTGGCACTCTCCACGTAACGCTAGCTCTGCACCGAAAACCCGGCCTAAATAAACAGTCTCACACTACGGAAGGCCATCAAAACTATCCGTGGACCTTACGGAAGTTGTTAGGTTGCATATTGGTTTCCTTATCTGGCGCGAAAACTTTGCTTTTCCCAGAGGAAACCGGAAAGGAAGGGAATTTCCTCACTAACCTTTCACCCGGCGGCCATTTTGAATGAATGATGTCATCACGTGACGCCGCATTCTTCTGAACTCGTCCTCAGGGGAGTGAGGGTGGTTATCCTGGGTTCGAGATTGCAACAACAACTTCTGTTAGGCCACAGCAAGTAATTCTTATGGATGACATCAGCACGCGCATTAATTTTCGCCTGGTTTTGGAAAAAAAACGAAATTTTGTTTCCTTCTGACAGTGGTCAACATGCCGAAAATGGGCAAAGATGTCTGTTGACATGCCGGAAGGTGGATGGCAGAAAAGAGACAAGAAAAGGCTCTGATTTAATGTTTTGTTTCTTACTTTGATGATGTGATGATGGCTGTGTATATGTGATGTTCCCATCGAATAAAAGCCATTCGTACAATGATTGAGTCAAAATTTTATAATGAAGGAACTTTGTTTTTTTTTGGCCCGCCTTGTTTTTTTTTCGCCCGCTCGCATTAGATTTGGAGTCTGCAGAGGATGTCATCCATAAAATTTACATGCTGTGGCCTTACTACTAGTAACTTACTTACTTTTATACTACAGCAAAAAAGCATAAAAATTGTGTTTCGTTGATATGTTGGCTACTTTTAATTACGCCAGACCATTCTGGGCGCTCCAACGTAGGTTTCGTAAATGGCCGTAAATGGCTGTGAAGATTACTAGTGAAATAGTGCCTCCTGTCTTGTCTGGTTAGTATTGCAGTATATTGTTGTGAAGTATGCTTCATCCTCGGAGACCATGTTGCATGGTGTAGTAGTTTGCGTTTAATATCTGTGTTAAATGTGCAATGGAATTATTGTGTATGGTCAAGTAATGTTATGTTCTTGCCTCTAGAGGTTGATATACTAAAAAGGAGGGGGGGAGGTAAAAAATGAGTGACTCACCGGTGGTATTTAAAATGCTTATCACATTTATTGAACACATGATTCACTCACAATACAGCTTCATAGATTCAAAGTGGGTTAAAAAGTTATAACTTCTAATGAAACTTGATATTATCCTGCAAGTGCAGATTGTCGTCGCCTGTATTAGATCCGATATGGACAGCAGCATAGTCATTTTGAGACCAAACAAACTCAGACAAATTGTTTCCATATGACCAAGGAGGTTTTTTTATACAACAGTGTAACAGGCCTATGCACGCACTCCAAACTTGGTATCATCACGCGCCTACCGGGTTTTTACTGAACTGCAGAATTTTGGTAAGTACATATTAGTAGTACACTACTAGTATGTTCAATATGTGAAGAACTCTCTTCAGAAAGTGACAGAAATAAATTTCAGTCGCTCTAATTCTCTAAAATCTTACTAATCCACTGCTATTTATTCTTAGCGAGCATTGGCGCTGAAATTTTCCTCTTGGATAATATCTGGGTTACATGCATAGCTATATGTAAAGCTTGTATCCATAGCGAGCATTAGCGCCAACTGCAGTTCTCTTCTTGGACGCTAGGAAGCGCGCGCTACCAACTGCCGTGGCCCAGGTTCCCCCAGATGAGGTTGCCCCGCCGATCTCGGTCCTCGCTGAACAGGTAGTCCTGAAAGTGCAGAATCCACTCTGTTCTCGAGATCTGGCCGTCTTTGTTCTGTGGTACGCAGAGGAAATGCCTCCTGGTTTAGTAACACAACGAATTCGTTGCAAAACATCACATGAAACTATATCAGCACCAAGGACAGGCTGGTACATTCATACTAGTGCTGTACTTACTGTGGACACAAAGAACTACTCACCAAGCAGAGGTTTAGGTTATTTTTGACGTGTTTTCGGGCGATTTGGTCGGGTTTTCTATCTTGTACTGGGTAAAGGCAAATGGATACAGTCCTGTCAATTTGATACTGTCCTTTCAATTTGATACTGTCCTTTCAATTTGATACTGTCCTTTCAATTTGATACTGTCTTTCAATTTGATACTTTCCTTTCAATTTGATACTGTTCTTTCAATTTGATACTGTCCTGTCAATTTGATACTGTCCTTTCAATTTGATACTGTCCTTTCAAGTTGATACTGTCCTTTCAATTTGATACTGTCCTTTCAATTTGATACTGTCCTTTCAATTTGATACTGTTCTTTCAATTTGATACTGTCCTGTCAATTTGATACTGTCCTTTCAATTTGATACTGTCTTTCAATTTGATACTGTCCTTTCAATTTGATACTGTCCTTTCAATTTGACACTCTCTTTTCAATTTGATACTTTCCTTTCAATTTGATACTGTCCTTTCAATTTGATACTGTCCTTTCAATTCGATACTGTCCTTTCAATTTGATACTGTCCTTTCAATTTGATACTGTCTTGTCAATTTGATACTGTCCTTTCAATTTGATATTGTCCTTTCAATTTGATATTGTCCTGTCAATTTGATATTGTCCTGTCAATTTGATATTGTCCTGTGTGATTTGATATTGTCCTGTCAATTTGATACTGTCCTTTCAATTTGATATTGTCCTGTCAATTTGATACTGTCCTTTCAATTTGATACTGTCCTTTCAATTTGATACTATCCTTTCAATTCGATACCGTCCTTTTAATTTGATACTGTCCTTTCAAGTTGATACTGTCCTTTCAATTTGATACTGTCCTTTCAATTTGATACTGTCCTTTCAATTTGATATTGTCCTGTCAATTTGATACTGTCCTTTCAATTTGATACTGTCCTGCCAATCTTATACTTTTTTTGCAGCCACCAAAAGATCTGCTTGCGTGGTGAAGAACCACACATTCTCGGAATGTTTATGAATAGATACTAGTATGGTATATATAGAGAGAGTTGAAAAGAACTTGCATGAGATTGATAGCTAGCATTTCTACTTACCGCATCTAGCCTGTCGAATACATGTTCGACGTTGTCCACTCTGCCGAAAGCCTTGAACAGATTTTCGTAATCCTTCAGCTTCAAAGATCCATCACCTAAAAAAACAGCATCGACACTCATCCACACTTATTACCTTTATGAAATAAAAAATATAGGAAATCCTAAAAATCAGAACTCATAATGTAGCGTTACTATTCACTTGAAAACCTAAAACTTTATAGAAGGCAAAAGAGACAACAACAACACTAATTAATTATAACGTTACTTTTCGTCTTATCGGTTACCGCAAAAGACACAAGAGAGGACAACTCTAGTCCTCTCCCTC